TAAACATGACCCGGCGCTGCAAGAAAATACATATACTAAGCTATCATACCCGTCTTGCTGGAGAGCCTGCAACACCTAAACCCTAAACCCTAAACCCTAAACCCTAAACCCTAAGCCCTAAACCCTTGCGGTTCAGTCCACAGTTGCCCCAACAAGCTTTCCAGAACGATGCTGTTTTGAATACTCGTCTTCGCCGATCTCGAATGTGGCGCGACCGCCTCACCTTGCCACCAATAAACCCTAAACCCCAAGCCCTAACCCGATGTGAGCTTTGGAGAAGCTGTGGCCCGAGAGGCTTGGGGAAGCAACACACTGAACCCCATCTAAAGCCTCCAACTTGTAGGACTCTGGAATGATGGTTTCTCTCTGTTTTGTGGAGGTTTCCCTAGGCCAGTAATGGTAAGGGTTTTGGGAACAAGTGTTGGGGTTTCGGTGTACGCTATGGTGCTTCGGGTTGGAGGTTGGCAAGCGTATCATCGTATAGTACTGAAGTCAGTGCCTATACAACTACACTAGAGTCTCCCCCAGAACCCTGTTCGAACCTATTGTGCAATTGTTTTGAGACCTTTGTTGTACGCTTCGCAACCCTTTGAAGAAGCCCTTTCAAGGAACTCTCTGCTGATAATCTCAGGTGACCTCAAAGCGTTAGTCGCGCCTCACGTGAAGGCGTGGGATCGTAAACCCGGGTTCCTGGGTCGGATGAGTAGTAGTAGCAGCAGTAGTAGTAGTAGTAGTAGTAGTAGTAGTAGTAGTAGTAGTAGTAGTACAAGTAGTAGTAGTGGTGGTGGTGGTGGTGGTGGTGGTGGTAGCAGTAGTAGTAGTATGGCTTAGGGTTTGAGTAGAGTTTCTCGAGCATGTCATGTGTATTTGTTATTGATTAGGTCGCCCGCGACCTAGGGCGTAGGGTTTAAGGTTTTCGTTTAGTGGTTTGGGATTTAAAGCTAGGTTTGGTGTTTATTAGTGGTTTAGGGCTTAGAGTGAAGGTTGGGGCTTGAGGGTTAAGGGCAGTGGGGCACATTTTCGCCCAGGGTTCTGGATTTCGTGCAAGGGGTGTGGGTTTCAGCGTTTTGGCCGTGCCAGGGTAGTCTCACATAGTTGCTCGAACGAGCAAGTCAAGCTCATTGCACTATGCTTCGAAGGCTGGACCCTTCTTTAGGTTTAAGGGTTTTTGCAGAGTTATCACCTAGCACTCGGTATACTCCCCATAAGAATACAAACGTTGTTGACTACCCCAAGCCATGTGCGTACTTATTGGGTACTTTCCGCACCCCCAGGGCAAGCCAACAGTGTGGCCTAAGCCCTCAACCAAAACCCTACTAGAGTTTCAGAACAAATGGGCATGAACGAATCCAGAGACCCTAAGACAAAAGCTCCTCCAAGAAGGGACCCCATCTAGCAAGACCTCATCAAACCCTAAACCCCAAAACCCTACGCCCGCTCCTCAAAGCTTGGGGGTCTGGACGCCACTAGGCAGACGGAAAAGGGCGTTTTGTAAACACCCAAAACCCTAAGCCCGGAATCGCGCGTCGTATCAAGAACCCTCATGTCTCATGTCTTAGTGTCAACTCAAGATTCATAAAGTGCCTTGACACGGATTCTAATACTAGCAGGAATCCCAAGAAGCAAGTCTTAAAGAGAGTGCGGGTTTATAAATCAGGGGTCTAGATTAAGCCCAAACTCCGAAAGCCTACTGTAAGCCTTATCCCGTAAAGGAGAGGGTCGACATGTATCGGAGGTGTTGATCCCTTGCATGGAAGATCCCAACCCAGCCGCTCGTGCTGCAAGTACCATTATTATTTAACGATGTGTTTTCGCTTGGGGGCGACTTGGTCATGCTGTTTTTTGCGATGTGCCGTTGCGAGTCGGATCCGAAAAGTTTCGGGTCAAGTCCTAACTTCGCTCCTTTCTTTGCCTCAGCTCCTCGCGCCATGGCCGATGCAGCTGCGAAACCGATGGGACAGGGGCAGGTTGTCCTCATCACCATCGCGAAGATCGTCGGTGTGCTTGCTTCGATATACTTCTTCTTGATGGGCTTGGACATGATGGGGAGCTCCTTCCTGGTGCTCGGGGGCAAGGGTGCTGGAGACTTGTTTACCATCGTTGACAATCCAATCTCGGGTTTGATGGTTGGCATTCTGGCTACGGTCTTGGTTCAGTCTTCCTCCACCAGCACCTCGATCGTGGTGGGCTTGGTCGGTGCCGGCCAAGTTTCCGTAAAGTATGCAATTCCCATCATCATGGGCGCCAACATCGGCACGTCCGTGACAAACACCATTGTCTCCATGGCGCATGCTGGTGAGCGTCTTGAGCTCGAGCGTGCGTTTTCCGGGGCTACAGCTGCCAGGTCAGCCAATATTAAGGCTATGGCTTTTCTCAGTTGCTAACGTTGCTAACGCACCTGAATTGTACCTTTTAATTCCCCTGATGCTGACGACCGAGTGCTTTCGTCAGTCACTTTGTTTTGCGTATTAACAGTGCATGGCAGCGGCGCTTAAAAACATATCTTCCAAGGTTCATGACATGTTCAACTTCCTCAGTGTCCTCGTCATGCTGCCGGAGGAGGTCATCATTGGTGCCATTGCGGGGGAGGGTGGTCTCTTGTACTACATTTCGAAAGGAATCACAGAGGCTGTAGTGGGACCTGAAACAGATGTCACATTTACGTCTCCGACCAAGTTCATCGTCTCTCCCTTCACCGATCTCTTCGTGGAC